ACAATAACAGATTTGGCTTTAGAATTTATGTCAACTAATGTTAGGGCAGAAAAGTAATAATTTTTACAAAGCACCTTCCTTCTTTTGTAGTAAGCTTCTCATTCTCAGACCTTAAGGAAGATGACACATCTACATCTGCTTTATCTTCTGTAAAATCAGCATCTTCCTGGTAAAAGAAAATAATGTAGTAATAAATGTCACTAAGTTACTACTGGCTTAGAATATAGTACTTTTCCAGTGTCACACATACATGATTTTTTTCAATACCCTTCCCCAACTACCATCACAATTTCTGTAACTTCGGGATATTTGTGTACATCAACGTAAATATAACACTTTATTGCTTCTGGTTAATATTATGACCCAAGATACTCTCTAATATTATTAAACATGCCCAATGCAGTGATTCATACACTGTTATACGCATATTTATTTTGGAAATATGTCCCGCAGTAATTTCTCACATATAAGTATTTTGCAACTTACGTACGTGCCGGTATATTTCCCTGTACTTGGGAACAGTGTCATCCTAAAACCAGTACACTGTAATAATTACCCTATCAAAGCAACCTACACACTTAGCACCACTGAAATCTTGATCAATGAATGCGGTATACTTGATAACTCGCCGTTTCATTTGGTATCCACAACGCTTAAATTTCGGAATGTGACCGCAAGTGATTTTTAATATACGAATTTACAACATGTCGATAGGTGTATGTGATCCGTATGTTGGAACCTTGAGGTTATAAAGCAGAAGTGTAGCGAATAGATTCAAGCTGTCGGACGTAAAAAACCGAAAGTGTGATGGAAACTGATTACCATGATTGAGATTCTTCGTTAGTACAGTACAGAAATGACAGTCTATCTCCAGGTCATATCCCCTGACTACTTTTTATAAAGGCAATATGAGCGGTAAGGAATGAACGAGTGATAATTTCCACAGATTACACGGTTCCGTTGACGGGTTGGAAAGGTTAGAATGGTTTGGGTCAATAAGGTGCTGTCCCTCATATTTAAGTAGCGGAATGTGTTGCAACACTAAGAAGGGTTTGAAAATATCTCTTGCGAAGAGGTAGGAACAATGCAAGAAAATGTTTATGAAGTACAGTAAACTTGCCACTATATTTGATTGTTTCTGTACATTTGGCAACCTCCACAGTTGGGGAAAAAATAAAACATTTTTGTATTCTGTACTCTGATGCAAGGCACTGTTCTGAATCTACAGAAATAATGGCCAAACTGATGGTGAAGCAACCAGTGACGGCTGATTTCAAATGAAATGGGTCAGCACAGTAGCATGTATGAACATGGCTTTGTTCTGAATTGTAGTGCCTTGTGTTCTGATGATGGAACTGTACTGATGTTCGACAGATACTTGCTGCCTCCATCATCAAGGCACTG